ATGTTAAGACAGGCCTTAATTAGTAGAAATGTAGGACTCTGAGCAGGGCTTTTTTTTTTAACAAGAATTTGCATTTGTACATTGGAGCCATCAAAAAGCCAGGACATGGAGTTATGGATTCCTGGAATCCAAGTATTAGATAGAAAAAGCAAAGTATAGAGAGATGACAATAGGAATGAAGTGGTTTTGAACACTGAAGAGAAATGCGGAAAGATCTATGACTGAATTGCTAGCTGCCTGGATAGGAGAGGGTGACAGGGAATGTATATTTTATAAATATCCTTCTTGAATGTATGCTTCTTTTTTTCTCTCGTTCCCCTCATCCCCAAACTCTCCTCCATGTGCCAATTATTTTATTGGGATTAGGTGCACTAGTTAGCGGTTGCTAATCTTGTATAAGAACGTCAGGTTTTCAGATGGCTTGGAAAAACTATTTTTGCGGGAAGTGAGGATATGTTTCATTGTCCTGGTTGCACTATGAGTCTGTGCTGTTTAAATAATTTGGGGCATTCTGTTTCATTTCATACTTGCAATTTTAAGAGCTTTTCTGATCAATAACAAAATGATAGCTCAATATAACTAGGAACACCAGTTCATTTTCTTACCCACAGTATTCTAATTTCATTAAATTCCAGCCTAGCCATTCTCATCCTACAAGAATAGGGAGGGGTTTTTGTTATTGTTTTGTTTTGTTTTGTTTTGAGTTAGAGTCTCACTCTGTTGCCCAGGCTGGAGGGCAGTGGCACTCTTACAGCCACCGCAGCCTCAACCTGCTGGGCTCAGGGGATACTTCCACCCCAACCTTCCAAGTAGCTGGTACCACAGGCATGTGCCACCACACTAAATTTTTGATTTATTGTAGAGGTGAGGATTAACAAAGTTTCCCAGACAGGTCTTGAACCCCTGAGCTCAGGCAGTTCTCTCACCTCCACCTCCCAAAGTGCTGGCATTATAGGCGTGAGCCCCTGCGCCCAGCCAGAAGGGTTTTATAATTCAGTATATATGACAGCATGCTGGAATTTGATTGGAATGAAAAACAAAAAAAGGTAAATGAAATGGTACCTATTAGGATACATGCCAGAATCTTCCTCTGGGGGAGTTTGGTGCTTTGGGGAGTGTAGTACACTCATAAAACCTTACATGGTTTTTCCAAGTTGCTAACTTAATGGCTTTCTTTAGTACATTAATTATGTATAATAGCTGTTTTTTTCCTTCAGTTAAAAGCAGATATACATGTTATGTTCTTTTTTATTTCTTTTGTTTAAACTTTTATTACAAAGGAGTTTTCTGTGCTTTGCAACTTATATAACATCGTGGCTAGGATTTTTATTGTGAACTACATCATGTGTGAAATATTTCTTTTTGATTAGTTCAGAGGGAACCAATGGATATTGAGTAACTGTATAGTAAGTGGGTAAGACAAGAAAGATTGTTTATGTGGCATTTGAAATATTAGTCTTCTGAAGTTAGGAACTAGAAAAAATTGTCATCTGGGAAGATCAGTATGCTAGGAGCAGTCCTAGGATTGCAAGATTCCAGAGAAGAGAGAAGCCCAAAGCATAAAGCAAAGATAGGAGTTCTGACTAGAATCTCAAGAAGTATTAAGCAGGGATCCTACTGCAAAGGTCTGTATACCAGGACTAGGGACTCCACTCAAGATATGCAACTTTCACATTGACAAAGTAGCTTGAAACTATATCTGACAAGGTCTAGATAGCAGGTGTGATGCTTACAGCTGGAATGAACTTTATACTGAACCAGATTCTTCGGGAACAAGGGAGCTTTCTGCCCAGGATGAGGTCAAGGGGATGAAAAATACAAGAGTAAAATGTCTCAAAGTTGGCATCAAACCAGTAATTGAACAGTTTGGAAGAATGAATTACTGGAAACCATTCAATTCATAACCTTGCTATTGTTACATGCAGAGTCACACACAGTGCACCCCAGAGTGTATAGCTTTATTTTGACCTTTAATTGGTGTCTTTTCTTATTTTACATTTGAAAGCATACAGAAATTCAGTTGTGAGAGCTTTTAGAAAATAGTTGAATCATATTTATCATAGAGCTTCATATTTCAAATTTATTTTGTTTTTCCTCATCCATAACATATGTGCCTGTTGAAGTTTTCCTCCTGAGTCCCTTACTATTGTGTATTCCAAAAGTTAGGTAATATGCTCAGTTATATAAAGTGATTACTAAAATAAATTTTAATATTTAAACATTTAAATTATAAACAATAGTTTTCCCTAAGCCTATTTCCACTTTAACCCATAAGTGTTTGACATTGGGCATACGCATACTTTTTATGGCTTATTTAAAATGTTAAAGACTTATTAATTTGAATAAAAATTTAAATGAAGGAGGTACTGTCAGATATTGTAAATGAAATTTGTCTTGAGCAATATACAATACCTATATTTCACAACTTGATCTTAACTTCGTGCCTTTAAAAAAAAATCTCTTCTTATTTCTAAACCAGCAAGGCATTTATAAATGCCTTTCTCCATTTTCCTGCGCAAAATCAGCTGAATCACAAAGTCTATCCAATGTTTTCCAAATTGTTTACTATCTTTCTCATCTAACTATAAAATATCTTTTAAAAATATTTCTCTATGGAGTTGAATATTAAGACATTTTCCCAGAAGACAAATTTTAAGAGTATGTTTTTCAGTAATTATTTTAAAGTTATAAAGTACTGAAAAAGAACCTATTAGTATGACAGTGTGATTTTAAAAAATACTATTTGAGGCATATATATATATATATATATTTATTTATGTTTATAGATATATGTTTATATGTGTGTATGTGTGTGTGTGTGCACACACATATATATAATTAAGACAACTGGGACTTGTTAATTACCTTTGTGTGCTTGCTTGTGGTTAGGATCAGTGATGTGATTAATCCTGGGAATTTTTGCTTCCAGTTAGTCATCCCATGCTCATATTTGAGTTGTAAGGAAATATTTATGGTTTTTGTCTTTTGTTTTCTTGTGCTAATTGCAGGTGTGAGCATTTGTATATTATTTGCTGTATATGTAAAAGTTTTTTTCCAAATCAACCAACCGTTGTTGGGTTTCAGACTAAGAGTTTTTCTTTCTAAAATATCTTAAGTTATTTTGTTGATTTCAGAAATGATACATGGCTATTAAAAATAATATCACTTTAATACCAGTTGCTAAAGGTCCTACTCCTGCTATTATTATGTTCTGCCGTACAATTTTTTTTTCTCCTCAATGTAAGGGCCACAATGATCCTACAAGATAGGTGTCATTACTCTTATTTTATAGAAGAAGCAGAAGCTGACATAATAACTGTGCAGTTGGCTTGAGGGTTTTTTTTGGCTGTTCTTCAGTTTTCAAGTAAGCAGTTAAATACATTATGTTTGGATTTCAAGGGATAGTTTTCGACTTAAGGTATAATGATACATTTATGCATGATAAAAATACAAATACAAAATTAGTGTTTTCACCATAAAGGATTTTTTTTTTTTTTTTTGAGTTGTAGTCTCACTCTGTCGCCCAGACTGGAGTGCAGTGGCCGCTCCCGGCCACCGCTGCCTCGACCTGCTGGGCTCCGGCGATCCTTCCGCCTCAACCTTCCGAGTAGCCAGAATTACAGGCACGCGCTACCACGCCCGGCTGATTTCTTGATTTATTGTAGAGATGAGGTCTTGCTGCCCAGGCGGGTCTCGAACCCGCGGGCTCAGGCAATCCACTCACCTCAGCCAACCGAAGGTGGAGGATTACAGGCTGAGTCACTGAGCCCGGCTCATAAAGGATTTTTAATAAAACTAATTGAAATGATATCTAAATGTGGCCTACTGACACTGTGGCACATGAAATATAATTACTGTTAAATTCTCAACCTTAGCAGCTTTGCCTTTCTGATTCATACCTGCTTCATATTTACAGGGTTCTATAAGCTCTTAAGAATCCCTAGATTCCTGAACCAGAATGCCTGAAAATGTTTCCTTTTTTGTCTGTGTATATGCAGTACTGTTCAAAAGAAATATAATGCTAGCCACATATGTAATTTTAATTTGCCCAGTATTCACATTTAAAAAGTTTGAAGAAACCGGGCTCGGTGTCTCAGCCTGTAATCCCGCACCTTTGAGAGGCTGAGGTGAGTGGATTGCCTGAGTCCGCAGGTTCCA